TCTTGATAATTTTCCTACAAATTATCACTCTTTTATTTATTAATATATTTTAATTTTTAATATTCTTCGAAGTAAATACAGCCCGTGCATCGCACGGGTTACATACTAGTTGTGCATAACACTCACATGCAGTGGGGTCCATTTAATTTTTAATGTTGGGTGGGTTTCACTCAATGTGAGTGTTATATACACCCCTATGTACAATATTATGTACATATAGCATTACTCTATTCTTAAATAGTTAGAGGCTTACACAATTTTTTGATATCTAAAAAACATAGAACGAGGATTGAAATCTATATATAATAAGAATAAGCATTAACTAAAAAAATAGAAAAAAAAATAATTGGAAACCTTTAATGCATACATTTTTTTGGAATTTTTTTAAATATAGTCATTAATTGCTTCAATATACATCTATATCTATATATAAATAATAAGAATTACTATTTACTAAAATTAGTACGCAAAAAAATCTGGGAATATTAATTACATTCAATTTTTGAATTTTATTTTAATTTTTTTATTAAAAAATCAAGCAGCATTTGATGCTACCATAAATCATGGAATTTGTTATCTTTAAATTTCAAAATTAAAAAAAAAAAAAACTTGCCTAATTGTATTTTGCAATTTTTTTGGAAAACAATTTAAATCCTAAAGATTGAAAGGAAACAATCTATTCTTATCTTAGTACAAATCTATAATAATATATAGTATGACAAAGGGCAATACGTAGAATAGGGGAATAATTTGAGTATTTGTCGGCAGATAAAATAATACTAACGTGATTAAAATCATTGCGTAATTCTTTAATATATGAATAATGAAGATAAATGATAATTCACTTTTTATTAAATAAGAAACAAAAAAATAAATAATTAGATATTTTGAAAATGGTAATAATATTTCTCTCTCATCTCTCAATTGGTTGATTAAAATGTGAAAGAGAATGTGGATGAACCACGTTATTCTCTACGTTGTGGATATTAATTATGTCCACCTCGTCACTACATTTGTGATTACAGTGTGCATTGTAGTATTAAAAGTGGAGACATTGCTAAATTAGTTAATATAAAATGTAATTTACTACAACTACATTGTCCCATTGGAGATGCTTTAATATAACAGATGTTGTAAAACGTATTTCTTGATAATTTATAGCCTTATTATTTTAAGATTATAAATTACATGATTCAATGAAGGAAAAAATTGTGTATGTATGCAATCAATTTTAAATTTATATTTTAGAGGATTAAACAAAATCCAAATTTTTAGGATGTTCTAATCCGATTTCATTTTGAATTTCAAATTAATATTATCTAACTCCATTTTATGTATAAAAAAAATTTGAACTAAAGAAAGTAGTGCCAAATGATAAGGATTTTTAAATTTTATTTTTCAATTTGAAATTGAGTCCAATTTCTATGCAATCCGATTTTTTTTAATAAACATGACCTGATCTGTTGCAATAAGGTAAATATACATGTTAGAGTATTTTGAATAATTCAAAATTCTCAATTTTATGATAAACAAATTTTATTTTAAATAAAAAAGAGAGAACTTTGACTTTTACAAAATTTTTATGCAGAATTTTACCATAATTAACCTAATTTACATGCAATCCAAATTTTTTCAATAAAAATTGATTTGTTCAGTTAGGAAAGGATATATGTGATTTTATTTTGCCTAACTCGAAATTCTCGATTTTATGGTAATCAGTTTCTTTTTTAATAAAAATGAGAAATAATTTTGACTTTTGCAAAATTAAAAAAAAAAATGAGAAAGAATTTTGACTTTTACAAAATTATAAGAATTAGTCAAAACTTAGATAAATTAAATCCACAAAATCCATGAATTTAAAGTGCATATATAGTTGATCGATTTTTTGGGAATAATTTGAAAAGAAAATTCAAAAACTGCAAAAAATAGAATGCAATAAATGTTGATTAACTTTTTCTGATACAATTTTTGGCAAATAGGTACTCTCTATATATAGATATAGATATAGATTACTAATTTCGAAGATGGAGTAATATGATATTATTTTTTTAAAAATAGTCTTTGTTTAAAATTTAATTGGTATGCTATCAATCTAATAAAAATAAATAATTAATTATCTAAATCCTAAAATTACATATAAAGTTAAAAAAAATATATAGTTTGATATCAAAATTTTAAAATTATATACGAGTGGTTAACTATTATAATTAATAAATATAGTTTGAAAATTTAGTTAATACACAAATTATTTCTAGTTTTAAAAAATAAAAATAAAATCTTTATTATTCTTTTCGATTTAGAAATTAATATAACGTTGATTTTTTCCCTACGGCAAAAGCACAAGCAACCGCCGGATAATTACTCAGAGAAAGCACAATACCCATCGAAAATTGCTGCAAAATACGGAGATCGGTCGCTGACCAGGCAAAAGAGTTGCACGGAGGTTCGACATTCGGAAAATTCAAAATTGCTGCCTACCCGACAATCTCCGCCCTCCCCACCGCCATCTCCTCCGACTCGAACGGCGTCCTAGCCGCCTGGTCCGTCGTCTCCCCCCTGCAGCTGGAACAGAATCGGCCTGCGCTATTCAAAGCAAATTGGTCGACACGGACCCGTTTACCCGGATTTCAACCTGACGACAACAAAAGGCCCGAGAAACCCGCTATAGGATCTCCCAACAGCAATTTCCCACAACTTTTCCTTCTCACCAGCACCCTTCAACTGGTACGCTGTTTTGCGTCTGACTTTTGTTTATTCACTAACATTTTTTCGATAAAAAGTTTTCGATTCTATCCGTGGACGCATATTATGGGCATGATTGTGTTTTCGCTTTGATGGATTAGATCGTTATGTGTGGATATCATCATTCTGGTTTTTTTGGGGCTCAAATCTTGATCTGGTGGTTTATATCCTTTTTGGACGTGGTCTGAGTTTTTTTTTTTTTTTAATTTTTTTTTCTTAATTAGGATTTTCTATTGTTATTGTTTGGTCGGAGGTTTTGAATAATTTCATTGAACAGGGAGAGAGAGAAATTGAGGTTTCAATCCAGTTTATATATAGTGGCTGATGACAAATCAATTGTGGAGATGGGGTTTAGGATTGGGTTATATATTTGCGGTGGCCACAATTTGGATTGCCGCCAGTTTTGTGGTGCAGTCGGTTGTAGACGAGGGGGTGTCCCCATTTCTAGTAACATACATTTGCAATTCACTGTTTATCGTGTATATACCGTTAGTCGAACTGGGGCGCTTTCTGGAGGATAAGTATGGTAGTCTTTTGTTCTGGCGGAATACAAAAGATGCCTCTTTGCAAGAATCGAGGGCTCTTGAGAAGGAGATTCTTCTAGGGAATGGAGAGGCCAGTGCAAATTCTGATGTATTGAATTTGGATGTGATTGGAGCAGAAGAAAATGGCGATAATGATGCGCATGGAGGAGGTGTTGTAGGACCGCATTTGGTTGTCGAGAATGGTGGTGGCTGTTCAGGGCTGGATGCAAAAGGTCGTTGGACACGTAGGAGGACTGCAAAAGTCAGCCTGTTGATTTCTCCTATGTGGTTTTTTGCCCAGCTCACTTTTAACCTCTCTCTCAAGTACACTACAGTCACTGTAAGAATCTGATCATTATCTCTTCTATATTCTGCCTGAAATTGTTCCAAATATTAGCAACCTGATTTACACTTTGCCAACTCTAGACAGTTGGGATAGTTTTTTTCAAGAATGTTTCAATAAATGTTCCTGGAAAACTTGCAATCAAGAAAGTCACTTCCCTGGGATTGTAGTTGATGATAATGATAATTATAGTAACGACTCAAATTTGGGTTGTAGAGTGTAGAAACAGTAGAAGTTTAGGTTACAGAATCTCAAGTGTTTTTTTTTTTTTTTTTTTTTTTTTTCAAAAATATATGTACTTCATGTAATTAACAATAAATCTCTCTACTGATTTGTGTAGTCAAATACCATCTTAAGCAGCTCATCAAGTTTGTTCACATTTATAGTCGCTCTAGTATTTTTGGGGGAGAAATTCACTTGGTTTAAGCTAGTCAGTGTTTTGCTTTGCATGGGAGGGACAATAATTGTTAGCCTGGGCGACTCGGGCACTGGTGCTAGTGCAGTTGCATCAAACCCTGCTCTTGGGGATCTTATGGCACTTTTATCTTCAATGTTTTATGCTGCGTACATTACCCTAATTCGGCAGAAGTTGCCGGATGAAGACAATGAAGCACAGGGCCATGCTAGTATGGCCCAGTTTCTCGGGTTCTTGGGCCTGTTCAACCTTGTGTTGTTTTTCCCTGTTGCTCTCGTACTTGACCTCTTTGAGCTCGAGCGTTTTAGTTCTCTTAGCAGGAAGCAGTTTGGTCTGATTGTTGGTAAAGGTATGATATGAAGCTTCATGTTAACTCATTTAAGAAGTTTGGTATGATTATTGCCCGTGTTCATTTGATTTTCTTGCAGGTCTACTGGACAATGTACTGAGCGATTATTTGTGGGCCAAGGCCGTTTTACTGACGTCAACCACTGTGGCCACAGCTGGTCTCTCAATTCAAGTGCCATTGGCAGCCATTGTTGATAAATTGACTGGAAATGCGCCTGCTGCCTTGGATTATATTGGAGGTGCTGCCATCATGCTTGGTTTCACGGGTATCAACATCCCTTCGGATGTTTTTGCCGGAGCTAAAGAAGCAGACATTAAATTGGAGAAAGTGAGTGTAAATTGTGATGATGGTGAACAACTTTGAAGGGTTCGCGGTGGCTTTTAGCTGTTTTAGTGTAGAGGGGAAGGTATCTGAAACATGTACAATCTTTAGTACTATATAATAGATATAGAGCTGATTATTTCGACTTTTGATCACGAAAGTTATGTTGGGTTTTCACCCTGATATTGTATTGTACCATTAGCACCTTTGAAGGTGGAGCACATTTTAGAATAGGTAAAAATAGATGGATATGTTCTTTTCAATTGAAACTGTTGCCACTAATGTGATTATCATTTTGGCAACAAGCAGTTGAAAGTTATGGTCATTGGGGGTCTTAGTTCTCTTTTTTCTTTTTTTTTTATTTTCAATTTTTTTTTTTTTTTTTTTTTTTTTTTTTTTTTTTTTTTTTTTTTTTTTTTTTT